ATTGACATATCAGGATAAAACACTTGAAGCGTGTAAAACAAACAATCACCATCTCCATTAACGCTTATCGGGACTAATTTACGGATAGCTGGATTTGGATGACTTAATAATAAATTTCTTGATAACTCAGCTATTTCATGATCTATGGGATTGAATTCAGTTACTGGTTCTGTTGCAGTGGTAAATGTATTAATTATTCTACTAATGTCAAGATTTTTGGATTTAATAGCATCATAATCTGCACCAAAATCTTTCAGTTTTGCTAGTGAAAGTAAATAAAAATCTTCGCGAGGTTCATTTTGACAATTTTCACACAATACTGTTGGTGATGTAGTGTCACATAGAGAACATGTAATCCTGCCCAAAGTTTCAATAACTCGAACACCTTCCATGTGTTTGAATACGATTATTATTAGTATTATTATTAATATTTTTATTACATTCATAGAAAAGAGAATAGTCGGTATACGTAGTATTGCATCTCACAGATCATCTTTAGACATTTTCTAAAAAATGACAAAATTTACAGTAATTGATTCACCTGTATCTTATGGAACTGATGATTATGCAGTTTTTAGTCCAGAAGATGTGGATCCTACCAGATTTCCGTATATATCTATTCCGTATGTATCTATTACCAATAAAACATCCGCAAATATTTGTTCTAATACTTCTTCACACCCACCAATAACTCTACTGAAATTATACTTTTTGTTGATAATACTAGAAAATGAATTTCGTTTAATGTGGGATTTACTGATTTAATGTGTGAACTTTCAAATTCTGAAATTCTGACATTTTGTATAAGTGTCACTATCCCACACAGTATAAGGATACCTTTCAAATTCTGAAGTTTCTCGTTCTGTTCGTGGTTATACTGTATAATGATAATTTGACAGTTCTCTTGTTTTAACTGTGAAGCTTCTCTCTTAGAATGTAATAGACGATACTGATTACGAATATGCAGTTTGTTTTGGTTCAATGTCAGTTTGTAAGTCAGAAAACACGTTTTGCGTACATGAAATTTAGCAATTTATTTCGCTTTGGAAATAATATTGTTACGTAAGAAGATACTATTAAATGAGGAAAAAGAGTTGCCATTGGACCTTCCTTTTTTCTCCTATTTCTAAGACAATAGCACCTACAACAATTGTGAGAAAAACATGAGTTTATGATCGACAATACCATGGTAAAAATTACATGTAGACAGAACATATTTTAATCATTGTATAATGAAAACTGTATGATGGTAAAAAGGATTCGTAGTTGCTCTGAAACGCAATTGGGAAGCTCAGAGTGAGCTACAAAATCGTTGACTCAGAAAATTTCAAGTACAATTGCTTGTACCTGAAGCGAATTTGCATATGAAATTCAGCATCCGCGAACAATTCACGTATTTTTTCCTCTGATTCTCCAAGCATTTTCGGAAAAATCTCCGGTCCATTCAAGTTAGGTGCGGGGGG